CCGGACCGGGATGCCCGCCCTCTCGCCCTCGCCCTCGCCCTCCTCGGCCTCCTCCTCCTGCTCTGCCGGCCCGGGCCTCTCAGGGAGCCAGCCAGCCTCTTCCTTTACGTCTGGGGGGCTGAGATCCTGAGAGGAGGGGCCTCCAGCAGCGGGGGCGGAGTCCCGGCTCTTTCTGGTCAGGTCCTGGGGGACGAGGTCATCGTCTGTTGGGGAAGGGGTGAAGGAGAAGGGCTCAGCCTCTTGGCTGAGTTGCCCTTACCCACACAAGAGGGTTCCATCCTTGCTCCTCACCCCGGCCCCAAGCTAGCCGGCCCCAGCCAGAGAGAGAGGGGTGGAGAGTCTGTGTGTAGAGGGAAAATAAGCCTGCAGCCCTCAACCAAATGTCCCTGCCTCCCAATTTTGTTTTCAGCTCCCATGCTGCCTCCCTAATATTGAAGGGATCTCAGCCCTGGGGGACAGCCTCGCACCTGGTGAGGACTGGGTGAGCTCGGACAGAGCCTCAGGCTGGTCACCCCAGGCCTGCAGCAGGGCACTGCGCTGGGGGCCACTGAGCCCTAGGGAGCTGGGGTGCATCTCCAGCACGTGAGCACGGATGTCGTCCAAGTGCAGGCTGGGCAGTGCCCGGCCACAGGCCATGCACACCAGCCGATTCCCCCGTGGGTCGTAGTCCATGAGACACTCGGCCCGGAACCAGTTCTGCAGGGACTCCTTCAGCCTCCGCTCCAGGCGCCGGGCCCCCAGCCCCCTGCTGCCCCCAGCCCTTCTGGAGGCGGCAAGGCGCCGGCGCCGAGGTGCCACTGGGCCCCCTCGAACCCCTCGCCGCTGGCGCCTGCAGCCCCCACCAGCTGGGGCTTTGCCTGAAAGGGTCGGAGGGAAGCAACTGAGTCTCTGGCCCTCTGGGGAGTCCCCCACCACAGTCAGGTACTCCACACATAGCCTTTTTCTCACTCAAATCTGACTCGGTCCAATGGCTGACCTTTGCCTGTCTTCCTCTCCTTCTCACATCTTGCTTTCTTTTGTTTTTTAGACAGAAATTCATACAGCCTAGACTGGGTTCAAACTCCCTATGTAGCCAAGACCTTCTAAACTATTGACGCTCCTGCCTCCTCTACTTTCCCGGTACTAAAATTACAGGCGTGTGCCCCCACACCCACTCCCTCCATCACACCCCTTCCCTAATCCTCCAGCTCACCCGCTCTAAACTCCACCCAGCCTCCCAAGGCCAAATTTTAGCCCCTTCCCTAAGCTTCCCTGTTCTAACACCACACCCCACTTCTCCCACCAACTCACAGCCCTTTTCCTCAACTTACCCCACCCACGCTCCTTCCACTACACAGTACCAAGGCTGTCATGGATGCTGGAAACTGCCCCACACCACCCCTCCCCACACTCAACAGTGAGGGCAGTTAACAGAATCTACCCAAAGAAGGTGCAGAGACTTCCTCAGAAAATAAATAATAGCTGGAGAGCAGAAAAGCTGCCAACAGCACCTCCTCGTCCAGCCCCACGACACACAACACCCCCCCTTCTCCATATTCTGTATTACCTGAGCCCTTGGGTGGGCAAGCTTGAAGGCTGGCCCCCTCCTCCTCCTCTTCATCTTCCTCCTCCTCCTCCTCAGCCCCCTGGGCCCCTGGGCTCTCAGCCTCACCACAGGCACCCAGCCCCAGATGGGCGTCCCAGCTGTTGCTGATGACCTCCTTCTCTCGGGGACTCCAATGCAGGGAGTAGGGGTGCTTCTGGCGGATGTGCCTCTTGATGGTGCTGAGCTTGAGGGTGGCCAGGGAGCTGCCACACACCATACACACCATGCCGTGCCGGGAGGGAATGAAATCCATCAGGTACTCCAATCGCCAGTGGTCGTGGTAGTAGCGCCGATGGTCCCTGCCAGGGATGCGGCTCTTTCCAGGCCTCGAGGCCCGAGCCTCACAATGATCTGAGTATTTCCTGCCTGAAGATGCTGGTCCCCTGGCCCTGGAGGAGGGTAGGGGGGTACTCCCCCAGGACCCCAAGGCACCCCCTTCCAGCTGAAGAGCTTGTCCTGAAGAAGGGAAAAGGGAGACATGTTCTCAATCTCCAATTTCCAGGTAAAGGACCCAAGGCTTTGATTTGGAAGCATGAGATAGGGAGGTGGGGGAGGGGAGTTTAGGGCAAGGAAGGGATGGCAAGAGCAATGAAAGGGAAGTGGGTAATGAGGGAGTCAAAACAGTCCTTACAAAGAGCAGGGACCCAGTGAGAGGAGGGAGAACAAAAGGATGAGTACTGTGTGAGCTTGCTGCAGAAGGCCAGGGAGGGTGCCAGTCCACAGAGGTATAGACAGGGGTGAAGCTACATCAGCAGGCTGGGCAGTTACTGCCAGAATGAAGAAAGCAGTAGGCAGAGGGAAACAAAGGGGGGATCTGTCTGCACCCAGATCTGTGGACAAGACTCACCCACCTGAGGCCCCACCAGGAGTGCCCCACCCAAAGGTCCCTTTTCCAATAATACTCCAAATATGCCCTCCTGTAAATACCAGTTTAGGGAGGGGTGTGTAATGTCTGCTTTCCCACTGGAGGGATACCTAAGACAAAGGTGTCAACACCTCCAGGGAAGGAGTTTCTCAGACCCAGGCTTCCCCAGAGTAGGGGAGGGGGCAATGGCCCTGAAAAGGGAAGGCAGGAGGGCCACCAGGGTGACTACTGAACATACACACTGCAGATTGGGGTGCAGTCACCACCCATAAAACCACTACATCTTTCTAGGCATTTACTTCATTGGGGCTGGCTACAGGGACTTGACTACTGCCCAGCAATCAGAAAGGTGAGCACTTCTGGGCCCCACCAACCCATTAGTGTTCCTACACTTTGTCAAAGACACCAGAGCACTACCTTACCCTCCCTGCAGAGCTGGCTGACCATTTTTTATTGAGAAAACGGTCTCCTGGCCACAAAGACTAGACAGGCAGGTTCTGGCTATTCTCTCAGTACAGAATCCCAAAGTCAGACAAACAAAAGACAGGATCAGAGAAAGGTCCTGTCCCTGTGTGGAGTTTGCATTATCTTATTTATTTATTTTAAGTAGAGCTATAGAAAAAAACACTAGGTTCAAGATCTGGCTTCTCTGGTGACTTGCTCAATGACCTTTGGTAGGTCATGTCCGCTCTCTGGGCCTAAGCGCCTTTGTCTGCAAATGCACTGACTGGCTGGATAGCTAGTACCCTACTAAGCATCCTTCCAGTGCGGGAGACTTTAAGTCTAAGGCGGACTGGCCCTTTAAGAGCAGAAAGAAAGAAAAAAAAATAGAAAAGAGAAAGGAGGAGCTGAGATTCTTTAAAAACAAAAGGGGATGGGGGGCTTTAGAGGAGAGCTCAGAGAGTAGGGAACAGTCTCCCCAGTCAGCACGGAACCTTCCACTGATAAAGGCAATAAACCCCTCAGCAGGGAGACAAAACAAACAGTTGGCTTTGAGGGACAACGAGGACCGGGCGATCCTGATACAACCGACAAACTGGGGCCAAAATAAATTCTGACACGCCACAGGGCACAGGCAGGAGAGGGCATCCACCTTCGTGGGCGAATCCATCCCTTACTTAAGACCTTCCCGATGTGGGGGATAGGAGAGGGGGCCCACCAAGGGCGT